AATATAAACCAAATGTGGGAAAAGGATGTCAACAAAACGGTGGACCCTTTGCTTCACTTTATTAATCCGTATAAACTGTTCACAAATCCTGATGGCACTCAGAATCTGAAGGTTTATATCGGAGATCACATTCACCTGAATAAAGCCGGGTATGAGATATTGGCTCAAAGTCTGGAACCACTTATTAAACAATATCTATAAATCAAAGTTATTTACAAATTTTATTCAAATTAATTCTATTTTAAAGTTTCTTACATTTAATTCGTTATTCTGTAACAATTTTCCACAAAATTAAAGATTATTTTAGTAACATTGCATAAAAAGCTCATCACGTGATTAGTAAAAAGTAAATGTTTTACCAAATTAATCATTTGTTTTAACAATTTACTAGCATAAAAAATTCCTATGATATTAAAATTAATTGTAAATCTTTTACTATCATATGTTTTATTTAGAGTTAATTTAGATGTTCAGAAACTTAATCTCAAGATTACGTTATGTTTTGATACTAAGCTTTTGTTGTTGTTTTCAAAAGTTATTAAATTATAAATTAATTCAACTTAAGTATTGCAGCAAAACTATTGGTACCGTAATAAAATAAAATTTAGAGATAAATCAAATTAAATAGGAATATAATAAACTTACAGAGAATATTGTTTTAAAAATAAAGTAGCAATAAAATTATTACAGCACCTGTATATTATACAGAATATTAGATAAAAACTATTTTACAAAATCAAATTACAAATGATTAATAGTTTAGGAATAACACTGGTATTAAATTAGATAAAATTTTACAGAATATCATACAGAATATGTCTGATTGATAAAACAATATCAAACAACAAATAAATTAACAAAGATTATAAAAAGTGTATAAGTAAAATATAACAGAATATCAATTAGAAAAACAAATAAAATCACAAAGTTTTGAGTTAAGAATAATTGAAGTGAACAAAAATGTTGTAAAAATATGACAAATAATAATACAAATAATAAAAGAGAATATTTAATAAAACTAAACTAAATTTTAAAAGCAAAGTATTACTACTAGACTGCAAACCATTAAAACACAAAATGAGTTATAATGAGATGTCTTGAGATGAGTCCATGAGATCAATGATCGGCAATGATATCTGTGGTGCCGAACAACACAAGTCTCGCCATTTGGCCGAAAGTCTTGTTATAAGTCTTAATATTGTGTTCATTGAATGTTGTGATCATATCATTGGGCACTAAATAAGACTTATGTCTCGCGAGTAAATGAATGGCGAAGAAGTTGTTGTCCCAAAAGGGGTACAAATCGTTGTAAAGCATTGGCACTAAGTTATGGACACCGAAGGCGTGGCTGACCCTATGGACCAGCGATGGTTTGGGACCTAATATATCACTTGTGGGCAGTTGTCCCGCGTTGTAGTACCAACGGGTGGGCCGGTACTTGTGGTACGACTCGTACCACAACTTCAGGAACCGGGCGTTTTTGTGACCAATGAGCACCTGATTGCCTATCAATACACCAATCAAGACATACATTACTATCACTCTTAGGACCAATTGAGTGACAATTGTATTAATGGTAACAATGAGCGCATACCTATTGACTCGTTTGGTGGCCAACCGATAGTGAACTCAAACCTGAGGAATGGGTCCAAACTCTTGACCACATAGACATCGTTATCGATGAATATACCGCCAAAAGTGATCATCACTTGAATCCTGACGATGTCTGCCATGTGATAGACTGACGACAACTTTTTGCCGAAAATAGTCACCGGTTTCTGGATATGTCTCACATGAATCAGGTGTCCATCGGATCCGCTCATCAGTTGCGACCAATACTTGCCTTTCATGTGATGACAGTTACAGTGAATGATAATCTTCTGCGGCTTCTGGTGTCTTAACACCGACTTAATGGACACAAAGTGTATGAAATCCATGTATACGTTATCCAACACCACGTAATGGACAACATTGGGCACAATCGGGGTCTTAAATCCGGTGATGTTATCACTGTTTGCATCACTGAATACTAGATCACCACTCAATTGATCCGCAAAAGTGTCCAAATGATCGTCGATTGCATTGACATGTGGTTTGTTGTGGTGTTTGTCTGCAAACGTGTGGATGAATAGAGTTATGACTAAAATAACGCATAAAATGCACACAATTTTGATGTACTTTTTGCCGATACTTAGCGTATAATACATGTCTTATATGGACACCGATTATGGCAAACATGTATTCACAGTACAAATGAACTTCATTATCACACTCACAGTCAATACAATGCTTTCAATGTCTATTTGTTTTGTCAACAAAAACATATGTTTTTCCACTGACAGTGTCTCCCAAACAAAAGTTTTTCACAAATAGTGTATGAGTTTTGTTGTCTCAATGAATGAGTGAATGATTGGTGTGTTTGGTGTCTGTCCACCAGTTTTCACTTATATTTTGCTTGTGGTTTGTGTATTGATATTAAAACCGGTTTTATG